CGTCACCCCTTTCTTCTCTTTGCCCCTCTTTTCCTCTCCCATCTCATTTCCCCTCTCCTCTCCTTTCTCCCCTTTCTTCGCTTTTCTATCTTCTCTCCTCTCCTTTTTTTTCCTCCCCTCTCCTGCCAGTCTCCCTCCCACCTCTACCCTTCTCCCACCCTCTCCCCCTCTCCCACCCTCTCCCCCTCTTCAAATAACTGTCTGTCTCACTCCTTAAATTCCAGATTCTTTTTTTCTTCTCCTTCTTCTTCTTCTTCTTTCTTCTTCTTCTATGTTCCTTGGTTTGGTGGCACCTCGAGACCCACAAGGAAGTGCCACGTTCACAAGACGCAGGGAGTGACAGGGAGAGAGGCTTATCAAATATACAATTTTTGACCAGGAAGCCGAGTCCGTTTTGCGGGGAGAAGGGGGGGGGATGGGGAGGGGAGGAAGGAGGAAGAAAGGAGAAGAAGAACGAGAAGACGACGACAAAAAAACAACAACGGGAGACGAAAGAACGGAAGGAGAAAGTAATAAGATTAGAAGAAAGAAAGGGGAGCAGAACAGAAGAAGTAGTAGAATAGAAGAGGAACAAGAACCAGAAGGCAGAATGGGAATCGGGCTTGGGATTCGACGTGTGTTGTTACTAGCCACCGCGCCTTGTCTAGGTTAGTGTCTGGTCGAAGCGAACCCGTTGAATGAGCACTTGTTTGGAGCACCGAGGGGGGGGGGGGATGGCGGGAGGGAAGGAGGGAGGGGGGTTGGAAGGGGGAGGGCGTGTGCGATGGCTGGGTTTCTATTTTTTCTTTCTTTTTCTTTTCTTTTTTTCTCTTTCCTCTTGTTCTTGCGTTTTCTCTTTTTTTCTCTTCCTTCATTTTCCTCTCCGTCCTCCCCCCCCCTTCTCCTCTCTTTCTCTTTCCATCTCTTCCCCGCTGTCCATGCCTCCCCACCCCCCCTCCCCCAACCCCCACCTCGCCGCTGGCAATTCCAGGAAGAGCAAGAGAAAGGTCAGCGGAGCCCACTGACAACGGCGATTACAAACGGAAAGAAAGCGAGGAAAGAGGGAGGGGAGGGAGAGGGAGAGGGGGGGAGAGGAGGAGAGGTGATGTAAGCATAAGGGAGAAGTGTTATATAACGATTGATGGGGAAAGGTGATAAAGACAGGCAGACAGACAGGGAAGAGAGAGATGAGAGAGAGAGAGAGAGAGAGAGAGAGAGAGAGAGAGAGAGAGAGAGAGAGAGAGAGAGAGAGAGAGAGAGAGAGAGATTGGCGTGCAGACAGACAAAAAGAAAACGTCCAGCCGTGAAAAACTCAACGCAAATCACGCAACCTTATCCCCCCCTCCCTCCTTCCCCTCCATCCTTCCTCTTTCTTCCTTCCCTCCTCTCCTCATCTTCTTTCCCTCCTCCTCTCCTTCCTCCTCCTTTTCCTTCTCCTTCTTCCTTCCTTCCCTCCTCCTTCTCGTCTCTCGTCCCTCCTTCGTGCATACAGAAGACCATGCGCAGGATATGGGGAGAAATAAAGAAAGGGAAGAAGGTGGAAAATTATCGTGGAGGAGGAAGGGGAGGGGAAGAGAAGAGAAAGGGAGTGAAAGAAGATGAGAGGGCGGTGCGTGTGACGATAATTCAGGAGACAAAATAGAAAAGAAGAACGAGGGGGAGGAGAGGAAATGGCAACCGAGGAGAACAAAAGGGAAAAGGGAATGGGAGAGAAGAGGGGAGGGGGGTGGACGAGGAGAGCAAGAAGAGGAAGAAAAAAAAAGAAAAGATGGAAGAGTAAGAGTAAGAAGAGGGAAAAAGAGGAGGAGGAGAGGAGAGCAAGAAGGGAGGATAAGAAAAAAAGAAAAAGAAAGAGAAGATGGAGGAAGAAGAAGAAGAGGAGGAAGGAAGAAGATGAAGAGGAAGAAAAGAGGAGGAAGAAGAAGAGAAGAGGAGGAAGAAAGAAGAAGAGAAGAAGAGGAGAAGAAAGAAGAGGAGGAGGAGGAGGAGGAAGGAGGCATTTCTTGAGCCGTATTGATCCGCCGCCGTATTGATCAGAGCCGCCGCGAGTCCCCGCCGCCGCTTCAATTGCACCGGAAACGTGGGTATCACCTGTACTCGCGCCCGCTAATGAGGTCATACGGGCGCGCGGTGGGCGGGCGGGGGAAAGAGGAGGAGGAAGGAGGAGGAGGAGAGAGGAAGAGGAAGGAGGAGGAGGAGGGAGGAGGAGGAGGAGGAGGAGGAGGAAGGAAGGAAGGAGGAAGGACGTGAGGAGGAGGAGGAGAGAGGATTGGAAGGGGAGGGTGGGAGGAGAAAAGTAAAAAAAAAAGGGGAGGAGGAGGAGGAGGAGGAGGAGGAGGAGGAGGAGGAGGAGGAGGAGGAGGGGGAACGGAGAAAGAGAAAGAATGGAAAGGAGAAATGAGATAAAAGAGAGGAGAATAGGAAGATAAGGAGGAGGAGAAGGAGAACGATAGAAAGACTATGGAAAAGGAAGGGGAAAGAAGAAAGAGGGAGGAAGAGAAAATGGGGGAAAGGAAAGAGGCATTGGAGAAAGGAAGAGAAGCAGAGAGAGATCGAGATGGAAGACGAGGAGGTTAAATAACAAGAAAGAGAAATTCAAGAAGAATTCAAAAAAGAGATGTAAGTTGGCGAAAAAATCGGGAGATGGAAAGAGAGGGAAAGGAGGAAGAAAAAAAGGTCGGATGATATTTGAAAGAGCAAGGAGAAGAGGAAGGAGCCGCGATAGGCCATTATTGACCTTCCCGCTCCGCATAAAAAACCGCTTTTCGTAATCGGGTCGAGGAACTCGCCGCTACGAGGAGGAGGGGGAGGGGAGGGGGAGGGAGGGGAAGGGGGACTGACCATGTGTGGCAGGCGAACCGGTGTGTGTGTTGTGTGTGTGTGTGTGTGTGTGTGTGTGTGTGTGTGTGTGTGTGTGTGTGGTGTGTGTGTGTGTGTGTGTGTGTGTGTGTATTATTTATTTGTATTCGTGACGATATGTGTGTGTGTGTGTGTTTTATTATTATTATTTGTATTCGTGACGATATGTTTGTGTGTGTATGTGCGCGCCAGTCGGCCTACCTGCCTGTGAGAGTGATTGGAGTGAGTGAATGAG